GGTTTCTGGTTGGTTGTTTTAGATGAGATGAGTGTTGAAGTTGGTGGACTTTGAGCAAAGAACGTTTCCCTTGCTACTCTGGCTGGGTCTGCTGTAGTCAGTGGAAGGTCCGAGTTGAAAACCAAGACAGGAGACTTTGCAGCAGGCAGCTCTGCAATCTCATGGACAACTTCAGCCCTTCCTGGCTCGTCAGCAGGACACTAGACAAGGCCTGCAGCCTTGGCCTTCCTGAGTTATGAGCCTCCTGGTCTACCCTGCAGATTTTGGACACATCAGGCCTCATAATGGCACACTCCAATTTCCTGTACTCCACCACGTTTATCTGTGTTGTCACAAATAGGATAGTGGTCCTGTGGATCCTGAGGTCAGGAGAAGGTATTGAAAACAGGTCAGAGGTTACAAATGTGTAGTGAGTGAAATGAGTAAGCCTGATGAACACAGCATGACTACAGATAATAATACTCTACACAGGAAATGTGTTTGTATTTCAACTTTTAGCTGCTTTGTGGTGCACACGAAGGAAAATACAACTAAGCATATGATGCCTATGTGACTTATTTGACTCTAGTCATGAGTTCTCTTTATATAGCTACATCAAAACATCATGTTGTGCCATTAAAAACTGTACAGTAAAGGCACTGGAAAAGTAATTTATGTGACAAGAACTAGAAATTTTAAGTTATGATATTAAAATTACATTAACACAGTCAAAAAGAAAAAAAACATACATGTTATTAGGATGAATAGAAAGAAGGCTAGAGTGTCCTGAGCTGTTACAGGAAGAAAGGAGAGCCTCGTGTCCAATGAGAAGGTGCAGTATTCTGTTCCATCTCAGTCCTGCATACCTGAGTGCTGTGGTTAGATTCAGCCCTTGCTTTCATTTTATAAAACCTGTGAGTTAATGCACAGTCTGCTTATGGTTCCCTAGACCTTGCTTTCTCCTTTATTCCTTGTAAAACGTTCCTGTTCGGCCGCATCAGAAGGATGTAGCACTTGGGGGCAAAGATACAGCCCAGGAGTCCCGCACTGGAGGCCAAGATGGAGAAGACCTCCACAGCCACCATGACCTTCCCCTTGGTGCTATGATACACAGGAATGAAGGTCACCCACACACTGCAGAACACCAGCATGCTGAACGTCAAGTATTTGGCTTCATTGAACGTATCAGGCAGACTCCTGGCCAAGAAAGCCACTGAGAAGCTGCCCAGGGCCAGGGACCCCAGGTATCCCAGCACGAGGTAGAAGAGAGTGGCAGAGCCCTTGTTGCACAGGACCAGGAGCTGCTGAGGCTCAGCATGTGTGTCTGTGTCAATGAAGGGAGGACACGTTCCCAGCCAGATTCCACAGAGCATCACTTGGAGGAGGGAGCAGATGGGAATGACAGAGTTGGGTGCGCCTGACACCAACCACTGCCTCATCCTCTTCCCTGGTGCTGTGGCCTTGAAAGCCAGGACCACGGTGATGGTTTTAGTCAAGATGGTGGACACAGCCACTGTGAACACAAGGGCAAACGTGGTCTGCTGGAGGATGCAGGTGGCTGTGTTGGGACGGCCAAGGAAAAGCAGGGAGCAGAGGAAGCACAGACACAGGGAGGCGATCAGGGTGTAGCTGAGGTTGCAGTTATTGGCCTTGACTAGGGGAGTGTTTCTGTGCTTCACAAACACCCCAAGTACCAGAGCAGTGAGCACAGTGAGGCAAAGAGCCACCCCGGCCAGTGCTGCTCCTAATGGGTCTTCATAGGCCAGGAACACCACGACCTTGGGCAGGCACCGATCTCATGCAGGATTTGGGTACTGGTCATCTAGACAGCGCACACACTGCTCCACATCTGGGGAGACAGGCAGGGCATTATTTGGCTGGCAGTGATTCTCAGCATTCACTCAGCACAGTCACAGAAAATATTCATATTTATCTCTGTTGCCATAATAGACACCAATCCGAGATTATTACATGGAGTATGTTTTCATGTCAGTTTCCACCCCCTCTTCTTTTTACTCTGATTTCTTTCTCTCTCTCTCTCTCTCTTTCTCTCTCTCTGTCTCTCTCTCTCTTTCTCCCTCTGTCTGTCTCTGAATTCCATTTTCTCTCTCTCATTGAGCACATGCATGTATTCTCTCTCTTCCTTGCTTGGTAATAGCAATAAAATTCTCTTTTCCCCTTTGTGATTAGCTTTTATGTTCAAAGTGTAGTTTTCTGTATCACAACAAAACCTTCATCTATACCTATGTTGCTCAATGACCATGAGTAAGTCTGGAAATCTTAGGCACACATGATGACTACAGCTTATAATACTCTATACTGGAAATGTGTTAGTAGAGTAACTTTTAGCTTCTTTTGTGTTGTACACACAGGAAAACACAACTACACATATGATGCATATCTGAAACCTCTCAGATAAATTAGGATATTCACGATAACTATAAAACATTTCAGAATATGAATAGGCAGGTCATAGGAGTGTCAAAAGGCAAAGAAAGAAACACTGTCTCAGCTTTAACATACATTTTCACACATGACAGTCAATGTCCCCTTTGTTAACATGGTATGGAATCCAGTCCTCTCATTATCCTTCCATTTAACCTTCTGAATACTTTGTCAAGTCCCAAATGTTTATTAGAATGTCACAGTGGACACCTTATAGATGACAGGAACTGATAACTTTTAATTTTGAGTCTTCTTGTCACTAAATAGAGTATCATTTTAGCAGTTCATCCCTGTTTCCCTCATTTCCATTTCATCAATTCTTTTATAGGCATTAGAAAATTTTGGTAATCTTCATTTCATGCTTGAAGTTACTATAGGAATGTTTCTTGGTGGCGGCGGAATCATTGATTTCTGCTATAATTAATCTCAAGTGTATTTTTTGCATAAATTGAAACTCTTACTTACTATACTGATTAGCTACCTGGCAACCTTACTGAAGTCAAATATTAATTTTCATGGTACTTAATTATAAGGCACAGAGAGAAAGAGATGGCAAGAGACACAGAAATGGGAAGAGATAGAAAAATAAGGAGGGAGAGAGATTTTGCCCTCTGCTGGTTCTTTCCCCATAGGCCGACATTGCCAAGGACAGGCTAGGCTGAAGTCAAGAACCTACAAGTGAATTCAGATCTCTCAGATGGGTGGCAGGGATCTGAGTACTCAAGTAATTATCTACTTCCTTCCAGGGCATGCATGATAGGAAGCAGGGGTGAGGGAGTAGCATGGGCCAGAGCTAGTCAAGCTGCTGCCCGCAATGCTGCCATGCTCTATGAGTGCCTGTACCAGTGCCAGCTGCTCCACTTCCAATGCAGCTACCAGCTAATGTGCCTGGAATATCAGAAGAAGAGGACTCAAGTATTGGGCCCCTGGCACCTGCATGGGAGACCTGGATGGAGTTCCAGCCTCCTGGCTTCAGCGTGGCCCGGTCCTGGCCCTGATGGAGTGAACCAATGAATGGAAGACTTCTTTCTTTGTCTCTCCCTCTCCCTCTCTCTCTGCAACTCTGCTTTTCCAGTAGATAAAGAAATTTGAAACACGCACTGCAGCACAGAGCTGGCATGGAAGTGGAGGAGCTGAGACTGGAACCAAGCATTCTGGGAGAAATGCACACATGTCAACATGAGTTAGCAGCTGTGCCCAACTCCCACTGGAGGTCTCTCTCTTCTAGGGTACTTCTTTCATTTAGACTATTTTCCCGTGGCCAATCCCTATGTCCTGATTTCTAGCTGTGGACACAGGGAGAGTAACAAGTCTCTCCCACACTCTGTTCCCCTTCAGGAAAGATTACATGTATTCTGTGGGAAGTGCTGGGACCTGTTGTAGGGGAAAAAGAAGAGTGCCAGAGTAGGCTGCTTAAAATATAAATTAAAAAAAGGGACCATTGTACCTGAGTACCTACAGTCATGACTACACAGAGGCAAACAATGGGGATGAAACAGGCCAGAGTTTGGATTCACTTGCATCCCTCATGACCAATATGAGTGAGCAGTGCCAAGGACACTCAGGCTGAGATGGTTCTGGGAAGCCTTCAAGTCCTCAACACATGATTATGCTAAGCTCTTTCAAGACCCCAACAAATTTCAAATTTCCATTTCATGCTCTGCTTTCATGTTTGTTATAAGACCAATTTAATTTAATTTAAAATAACCAAAACTACAGAAAATTTTATAATCTGTACCTGTCTCATTAGAAATCTCAATCTCTGGACAAGGGGTACAGTCGAAGCAACAGGCAGCCTGTCCCTCCTGGTGGGTTTTCCTGAATCCTGGACCACAGCTCTCACTGCACACAGAACGGGGAATCTAAAACAAATCAGAGAGTCTTGAGAAGTGTCATCATGGTTATCTGATTCTGTTCCCACTGTGCATTGTCAGAATATCCAGGTGGACAAGAAATCGGCACACTCCATTCGTGGCCTGGGCACTCTGTTTCAGCAGGTGACACTCAGTTATCCACAGGGAAACATTTTCTTGGACATTCAGTGGAAATCACCAGAGTAAGCAAAATGGCAGTGCAGAAGGGAAGTTGGCATGCACTTGTGTGCTGCTCTGCCATGCTCTCAGGACCTGCAGAATTCCCAGCATGGAGCTCTTTACTGAAGATCTCTCTGTAAGCACAAACTGGCATACTTTTGGAAAAGACTTATTTATTTATTTGAAAGGCACAGTTACAGGGAGAGAAAGAGAGAGAGAGAGAGAGAGAGAGAGAGAGAGAGAGAGAGAGAGAGAGATGTTCCATACTCTGGTTCACACCCCAGACATTTGCAATGGCCAGAGCTGATCTGATCCAAGCCAGCAGCCAGAGCTTCTCCCAGGTCTCCCACAAGGATCAGGGGCCCAAGGACACATGCCATATTCTGCTGAATCCCCAGGGGCATTATCAGGGAGCTGGATTGGAAAAGGAGCAGCAGGGACTTGAACTGACTCCCATATGGAATGCCAGTGCTGCAGGTAGCACCTGTACCGCCTATGCCACAGTGCCTGCCACAAACCTGGTATTTCAACTGTGCAACCGACCTCTTTAAACTCCACATTCCACTCTATCATCTCCTCAGATATGGAAAGACGGTGACCATGTGGAGCCCGTGGTGAAAACTTTCCAACCTTCACCTGGAGGTGAAGGCCTTGAGGGAAATTCCAGTAGTTGAGAATGTCATAGTCTTTCCTAGAAACTCGTTCCTCATCCAGATTCACCTCATCACCAACACTGTTGTTAAATTTGATGTTCTTCAGAAAGGAGTTAAGCTGAAAAACAAAAAAGCACCCTTACATAACAGTGTACCCAATTTAGATAGAGGAATCTCAGATTAGAGTCATACTATTGAAGCTCATCAGAATTCTTTCTTTAAATTGTTACTGTTTAAAAATTGTTAAATTTATAATTATTCAAATGAGATAATACATTTTTAGCACATGGTTAAAGAGACTATGTATAACGCACATTATATACTGCATGTATGTGTCCTATTGTCTGTAATAATACACAGTGTGATACTGGAAATATCACAGAATTAAAATGATCCCTAACCTTTCCTATATTGCTATCCTTAACTCCAGAACCACAGAATTTTGAGTGTCTATGTAACCTTGCTCCTTGAGTATATATGAAGTGAAAATGATGTCACTGGGGCGGGCGCCAAAATGCAGTCTGGCTGGCCTCCTCGGAGAAGAGAAAGTCTGGACGCAGTGCACACACAGGGAAGACCCTATGAGGACACAGGGCTATCAGAACCATCTACAAGTCGAGGAGGCAGTCTTCAGAGGAAATCAACCCTGCTGGCAACTTGGTCATACACATCAGCCACCAGCACTGTTTGGCATCAAAGTTTTGTTCTTTGAACTCCCCAGTCAATACTAGGAAACATGAATATGATCACTGTACATGGAATTCAGAAACATCTCTACAATAAAGTTAAATCATCATCACCCACGTACTTAGAGCTTCGGTTACCTTCTGTGCAAATTTACGTCATAACATTTACTGCCTAACACACTTGCAGAATACCTTGGTCAGTTTTGTTTATTAGCCTTGCTGATGCCTGGCAAATGTTGTCATGAACAGACTAGCTTCCCAGCTACTGTAATGCCATTCAGTGTAAAATTCCTCATTCCTGGAAGACATTCAGATGTGTCACACTGAAAATGCCAGGGAACATTGGCCACTTGGGTTACACATTTAGTAACCACAGAGACCTCTGTTATCCCAACAAAAACAAAGCAATTCACCACGTGGCTAAGTATGAGCATAGCTGCTGTGCCATGAGAGGTCCACAAGCAACATGGAAAAGCAGTCCACCACATGGCTATGTATGAGCAAAGCCTCTGTGCTGTACATGCTCTCAAGGAACAAGGAAAAGCTGCCTGGAGAAGACACAGTACCTGCCAGGGGTACACCGTCAACCCATCTCCATTCCACACTGGCTGCACCTCTACCCACTGAAGAAGCATTTCATGAAAGGTGTGGGCCACGGCATACACGGCATTGTAGATGTGGTAACTCCTTCAGACATGCTCATGTCAAAGACGTGCACTGGCAGATCCTCCAGAGAGGCATTCACGGGACAGCTCTGCAACGTCTCACAGTTGGCCTTTGAAATCGAGCAGGGGAAAAGTCTTCTGGTTACTTAGATGGATTCACTGTCTTGAGAAAATGCTCAAAACCAGATATTTCATCGTGGGAGTGTGAAAAACTCAAAGTCCCATGTAATGTGTCCATAATGAGCTACATCTCACTGGGGATGAAATCCCATTGTGATGTCGTGATCCACACTTTCCAAGTCACAAGGAGCCCATATTTTGAGAAGCTCAGGCCCATTAATGAGTTCATGTCACCATAAATGACCACCATGCTTTCAGTTGATTCTAGGATTCTAAAGTGGTAGTGCCAATCAGATGGTGCATACCTCCTGTCTGTGACAGAGAGAATTTCAACAAAATCCACACAGACCTCGTTCTTGTTCATTTCCTCTCTTATATCCCACAGGAATTGAATGCCCCTGGTGTCCTCAGAGATGACCAACCCCACCCAGGTCAGTGGAAATGCAGCATTAAGGACATCATGACCAGGGCCAGACAGGATTCCCTGGGAGCCATCTGGTAGGTAAACTGATGATTTTCTCCCAGAATTTTATCAAGAGGCCATAGGTGAGCTAGAGTGAAAATGAAGATGTGAAATCAAATGAGTTCTGTGGAAGCAAGACCTCGGAATGAATTGCAGGGAAGCAGCACACTCCTTGCACACCCTTGGCTCTGAGAAGATTTCACTGTTATTGCTAGATTTTTATTTGGAGGAAGTGTTGGAAGTCAACTTACAGGACTTTACTCTCCCTGTGAGGGCTCTCTGGAAGACTGAGAGAGCTTTGCAGCTCAGTACTTCAAGGTATCACAGTGCATATCCAATTATTTCTTTCTGCCATTTACCCATAACCTCCTCTCCACCAGCAAAGTTGTGGGGGGTGGGCAGCTCTATGTGCACCTGTTTGGTTCCTGGCTGTTCCACATCTGAAACAGCTCCCTGCTAATGTGCCTGGGAAAGCAGTGGAAGGAAGATGGCCCATGTCCTTGGGTCCCTGCCACCCATGAGGGTGACCCAGCAGAAGCTCCTGGCTCCTGGCTTCAATCTGCCACCACCCTCACCATTGTGGACATTTGGGCAATGAATCCACAGATTAAAGACTCTCTCTCTCTCTCTCTCTCTCTCTTTGTACCTCTGCCTTTCAAATAAATACTTCTTTAAAAAGAAAAGTCTAATGAAATAGCACAAACACACACATACACAGTTTATATTCTGTCTATATAAAAATACATAAAGCGGGCCGGTGCTGTGACGCAGGAGGTTAATGCCCTGGCCTGAAGTGCTGGTTCAAGACCCAGCTGCTCCACTTCTTATCCAGCTCTCTGCTATGGCCTGGGAAAGCAGTAGAAGATGGACCAGTCCTTGGGCCCCTGCATCCATTTGGGAGACCCAGAAGAAGCTTCTGGCTTCGGATCAGTACAGCTCCAGCCATTGCGTCCAATTGTGGAGTGAACCAGCAAATGGAAGACCTCTCTCTCTCAGCCTCTCCTCTCTCTGAAACTCTGACTTTCAAATAAATAAATAAATATTTTTAAAAATACATAAATCCATTCACTTCTTTTCCACTTGAAGCCACCTAAGAAGGCACCTGAAGAGGAAAGATGTATTTCTCCCCTTACCTGAGGGAATTTGTAGAGTTCCAACAGCGTCCCTATCTGTGCTGAAGTCGCCCCTGTGTTTCCTGTAATGACTGCCACAGACTTGCTCTTCCTCACACAGGTGTAATTAGGAATGGCCTTGCCCACTGCAGACAACCAGGTCAGGGTGCTCTCTAGGGTCTTCCATTCACTATGGATGGTGTTGTAGAGATCAAATCCCAGGGATACATTGGTTAGCAGGTGTGGGGTCCTGTTGACCTCTTCAATGGCAAATATAAAGGCCAGAAGGTACTGGTAACTTTTAGGTTGTAACCTACAAGAAAGCATACCCAGACCTCACAAACAAGTTCACACCTTGTTCTTTGGAAACATCTCCTGTACACTCAAGTCATTCATTCCAAGAAAATCAATGCAGTGTTGGGGGCATTTTGGAAAATAATTAAAACTTACAAAAGGATAAATGTCTTTACCAGATGCACTATGATAATTATGAATCAGAGAAATTGTTTGAAGTCCTCTGACGCTCAAATTAAAGGTAAACATGTCAGTGGAATTACTTTTAAAAGTGCAGTAAAACTGCCTTAAAAATACTTCTTTTCCTTATGATAACGCTAAGCAAATTTGCTCTAGAAGGAACATTCCTTAACATAATTAAGGTCATTTATGACAAACCCAAGGCCAGCATCCTGTTGAAGGGGAAAAACTGGAAGTATTCCCACTGAGGTCCAGAATCAGACAAGGATGCCTGGTCCTGCTACAGAAACAGATGGATAGACCAATGGAACAGAATAGAAATGCCAGAAATCATTCCAGCCATCTCCAAACAACTGATATTAGACCAAGGAGCTAAAACCATTCCCTGGATCAAGGACAGTCTCCTCAACATGTCATGCAGGGAACACTGAATTTCCACATGCAGAAATAGGAAGCAAGACCCCTCCCATACACCTTACACAAAAATCCATTCAAAATGATTAATGATCTAAATCTAGGACCCAATGCCATCAAATTAGTAGAGAGCATTGAGGAAACCCTGCAGACATTGGCTTAGGCACAGAGTTCCTGGAAATGACCCCAGAGGCACAGGCAGTAAAATCCAAGATTAACAAGTGGGACTGCCTCAAACTGAGAAGCTTCAGTACAGCAAAAAAAAAAAAAAAAAAAAAACAGGAAAGGAAAGAGGCAACCAACAGAATGGGAAAAGTATTTGCAAACCATACAACTGATAAGTGATTAATGACCAGAATATACTAAGTGATCAAAAAACTCAACAATAGCCAAGCAAAAAACCCAGTCAAGAAGTGGGCAAAGCACTTACATAGATATGTCTCACAAAAAGCAAGTCCAAATGGCCTGCAGAAAATTAAAAATCCTCAGGATCACTAGCCATTAGGGAGATGCAAATCAAAACCACAAAAGGTTTCTCCTCACCTTAGTTACAACAGCTTTCATACAGAAATCAACAAACAACAAATGCCTGCTGGGATGTGGGGGAAAAGGTACCCTGATGCACGGTTGATGGGAATGCAAACTGTAAAACCACTATGGAAGACAGCTTTGAGATACCTCAGAAATCTGAAGATAGCCTTGCAAAAGGTTCCAGCCATCCCACTCCTCAGAATTTACCTAAAGGAACAAAATGAAACTGGCAAATAATAGAGACTTCTGCACCTCTATGTTTGTTGCAGCTCAATTCACAATAGGCAAGACATGCAGTCAACCTAAATGCCCATCAATGGAAGACTATAACCTTGACGTTTATTGTTAGAACAAATACTTACCGTGAGATGTTAGATAAGAAAACCATACTGAAGAGAAATGAATAGAAAACCACCCTGTTTTGATTCATCACTGATATCTATATATAAAGAATTAGAAGAAGAGTAATTGACCTCAGGGAAGCCTTGAGATGCAGGTATCCCTTCCTCAGGCATCTTTCTAAGACCAAGGGGGAGCATCCTCAGGTCTCTCTGGTAGCTTGGACAAGTCACTCTTCTCCTCTGCCATCAGACAATCCTGTCCAAGTCTAGACCAGTACAGGAAAGCACTCTGCTTTAGGTTTCTCAGATCCTCAACCCTGCCACGGCAGAACGCCAGCATCAGCAGCCACAGCACAGCCTGAGAAGTATTTAAACATAATTCAATGGCAGTCAGAACAGCAACAAGAACAACGTTATGTTAAAGGGCCCTCTGGGAGATACATGGAGGAGAAAGGATAGGAAGACATGGAAAAAACAGCTAATGATTGATGAACCATGAAGAGAAACCTAGAGAACATAGCAGCACATTGGAACAGAGCATGTCATGCCACCAAAAACACTGCAGCTCTTCCTTACAAAGATGCTTCTCCATCTTTCCCCAAAATTACATTCATTGTTTCCTATGGAGAATTCTTATGGATGGCCAAAGAAAGAAAAACAACACCTCAAATAGAAGCAGCCAAAAAGGATAGCTGGAAACACATACCATTAATTATATCAGGGATACATTCAAAGCCCAGGGATACAGGAATAACACACATTTTATTAAATACAAAAGAGAAGAAATTCAAGTCCCCAGCACTATGAGAGCAACTACATGGAGGGAATAAGAAACAGCTAGGGGAGCAGTGCTGTGTTCCTAGCCCACCTTCCAGCACTGCAGATACACAGACCTCGGGCAGGAAGTGTGTAAATGGATTCCAGAGCTTCCCAGCTGAAAGGACCTTAGCAGGCATCTGTTCCTGCTAGGGGCAAGACTTGGGATGTCTTGGTCTCTGTGCTAGCTGAGAGCATTGACCACCTGTGGGAAGGGAACTCTGACAATTGCAAGATACCCAATGGAAGGGAACTTTTGCTCCAGGCTCTTCTGCTATCCTATCAGCCAACGTCCGGCACTGAAGTACTTGACTTCACACCTTTTCAGGGATAACCACCAAAGTGAGACTACCATTCAAATGCCAGGGTCTGAGTCTCTCTTTGTTTATACCCAGCCATGGAGGAAAGCAAGAACTGTGAGCATGGACTCCAGGCTAAGGGGTAGAGTTGCAGGAATACAAGATAGACAGAATGTAAGCAAGAGGAGTTACTCTCTCTTCAGCTTTGAGGAACCCCGGCTACTGGGAGCACCCACAATATTTAAACTCTGAGCATTGTGATACATAAGGGCAGGAAAGGTGCAGGGAGATTCATGGCATAGTTGACCTACTGTACAGTTTCTTTGTCAAAATCATCTGGAGATAGGTAGAGCTGGGTTTCCTAAAATAATCAAAGACA